CAGATTGCTTCTAGAAGGTCTTTGGTGTGGAGAGGAGGTGCATTTTCAGATTGCCTTGTCTCTTTCCCGAAAGATGTCTGTATACCCGGCGCGGCCTGCAACGACGGCATTCATCGGTAGTCACAGGAGGAGAAGATGCGAGCGGATCTACGGGACGGCTTGAGGGGACCTGGATGAAATGGATATTTTTTGTTGGAAAAAAAAATTTCCTCGTGGGTTCCCCATCATCTTCACATGCTTTTTTTTGAGATCTGAGTGTGCAGCATGCAGAATCTCAATCTGGCATCTGAAAAAAAGGCTTCTGGAAAAAGCAGGTTGAGAGTTGAGAACTTGATAATGCCCACATAGACCAAGAAACACATGAAAAAATGAAAAAATGACGCAACACGACTTGCCTTTCTTTCCCATCGGTTGGGATTATTTTTGGGATCTCGGTTGCTCGTGTCAAATGAATGTATATTTGTCATGAGGGCAAAAAAACGACATTTATAATCACGAGAGACACCCACAAGATACACTGCCACAGGTAACCTACCTACTTGCTGCATATGGATGTGTAAAAACCGACGTATATCGCAGTCGAATGTACGTACAAAAAAGCAGGTTTTCTGTTTGCTGATTTGAAATGAGTCACCGGGTTTTACGCCCTCCGTTTCTACAATACGGACTATTCGCCTTGTAATCCCCAAATCATGATACTATACATATACGAGAAGCGAAAAAAAAGTGCCGGTGTGCGGAATACATAAAAGGTGAGTGGTTCCGTCGGCTTACACAGGCACACACAGGCTAAAAAGGTCCGATTCTTTTAACAAGAGAGAGACTTCGGACCTATTACGGTGTGAGGTTTCTTAGAGGTGAATGTCACTTAACCAATGATATTGTCAAAGTCCAAGATGTGCGGTATAATTGGATCTATGACTTTTACCACTCGAGTTTCGTTTTTTTGTGTTTTTGTGTGACGCGTCTTTTTTTGTCAGACCTTCTCTCTTCCCCCCTCCCCTAAATCGGAGGCTGGTGAAAAACGCGTTTTTTGATATCGGCGATGATAGATCGAGATTGAGAGATTTGAGTGGTTTATTTTGTCCTGTTGAAAAACGATGGCCCCGGCGAAACCCGGAGGAATTTTTTTTGATGAGGAAATCAAAAAGTAAGTATTACTGTTGTGAACTGCAGGATTATCAAAAAGGGAGTTTTATTTCCTGGTAAATGTTCTTGACTCTCGTTCCTTCAGTACTGCGGTGTAATCGCTTTCTCGCCAAGAAGGTGAGATATTATACATGTACTGTATTACTCCGAAGGAAAAAGGAAGGAAAGTTGCCCGTAAGGCCGAAACAAAGGCTCCGGGACACCGAAGTGCCCGGTTGAGCACACACAATAACCTTTCCCGGAGGTTCCCACTTATTCCCGGGTTGCGTATGTGAGGTAAGCGTATTTGTCGAGGATGGGATACCTAGGGACATCACTGAATTCTAGACCGAGCTTGGTTATGGTTTATTACCCCAGTTGCGGAGTGTAACAGACATAGCGTGCATAGTTACCCCAAAAAGAAACCCCGTGTATGTAGATCCAGAGTTCCAGACCATCACTCCAATTCGCGGCGGTCCGATTCGGCGGTTTGGTTCTAGATTTCTTATCACGTAGGTATCCAATTGATACGCTGAAAATGAGGGAGGGGGTTTTGCTTGCTAGGTTGCATGGAATATACTGGTATCTATCTGAAGCAAAAGAAATGGAATCCCCCTCTTTGTTGGAGCAAATCACAGTCACAATCACCTCTGATCTCCTTCCCCTCTCCTTACTGGCGGGGTGTTGATAAATTTACCCCTCTCTCTCCCTCTCTATAGAATTCTCACTTGGTGTTGATAAGCTGTGATGGTAATTAGCGAGCGAGGAACGAGGCAGGGGTATCTTGCATTCAATTCCCAGATGAGGCAGGCCACAGGTTGCTGTGATCACGTTTGTTTTTGTGTGATCAAGCTATCATTAGTAAATAAATAAAATTTGCCGCCCACACGTTTTCGCACACCGCGGTAGAGTTTTATTTGAGATTTTATCGTTATCCGAAGGTGAAGAGCGCGAATAATAAAATACGTCATTTCCATGCCTGCCCAATATCACACTGAGGTGAGGGGTGATTGAGGAGGTGCAACCAATCAGAGATGAGGATCACTTACACGTTTTGCTTGGCAGGGCTTTTTGATGGATTTCTTTGTTATGCGTTGTTGATAGCTAAGAGTTTGGTGTCTCCTGATGTTTTTTTTTCGAAGCTTTGCATTGGCATTGTAGGTGTAAAGCGTTTGGGTGGCTTAGAGATGGTGAGTGAGTCAGTGATGATGATGAATCAAAGGTGTGATGCCTGATGGGAGAAATACGATTGGTGAGGCAAAGTGTGGGGGCCAAGGTGAGAAGGTTCCAGGTTGAACAAGAACTTGACAAACTGCGGAAGTGGCCCATCACAGGCTACGATAGCGGGGGCGTTTACGTCTTGTTTTCACTGCTTGTATTTTGAATGTATTTTTCTCACTTCATCTTGTACCTTTCGGATCCCTCACTTTGTGGGGTGATATAGGGCAGCCCAATGAGGCCGGGGGGGGAATCTGATGAGTTGGCCAACCGTTGAGAGAGAAAACACTAAAAAAACTCAACCGCCCTCTCTCCAGTTGGGCTGCACTTTTTTGGCCCTCTGGCTCTCCGCAAATGTGCAATTGCCCACACAACCGGGGCCAGCGAATAATGCATAATAGATGAGGCTGATAGAGTTGGGCAAAAGAGGCATGCGACCAGAAACGGTGGGAAATATCAAAACGGAACACTTGACTGGTGAATTTGAGGGCAAAAAACCGTTTCAACGAGACATTGGACTCTCTTTGGGGGAGAATGCCCATTGCGTCACTGTTTGAACAACTCAGACCAAGCCATTGGCAGATAAAATATGCACAACATTGCTGCACATGTGCCTTATTAGATAGACGACGGCAACAAAAAGCTTCGAGCCTTTTTCTCCCCCGCAAAAAACTTTGTGGTTGGTTGGGAGCTGCACTGTTGAGTTGTCCAATGTTTTCTTGCAATTCAGGGGGGCATCCGAGATGGAGAAGGGGATGCCTCTCTTGGACAAAGAGAATAAACGTGGTCCGCTGTTTCAAGAGTCTTTGCATATTGAGCCTATGAAGCTATTTTTGAATTTTTAGATGCTCAAACTAGTCGGCGACCTCATAACGATATCACCTAAAGTTCAATCTCAGAGTTTTAAAGCACTGGACGAGAGTCTTTCTCTGGTTAACCACGTCACTGGGGAAACAACCTTGTGACTGTTTTACTGAAAGATGATAGGACAACTAAAGCTAGTGGACTCTTTGTTTACATCCCCTTAATAAGATTCGTAGGCCTCCTTCCTTTCCCCACACCATCCTTCGGTGAGCTGTTGGGCGGTACTTTGAGGGACCCTCGCAACTCAAGCATACTCGACAGGTCATCATGAATAATTCGAATTTACTACCGTGTATCTGAGAATCCAATCTTGAAAAGAAAAAGTCTTCTGCCACGTTGTTCAAAGCCGGTGGCTGCCTTTCCGGATTACCTTATTAGGAAAATAGCTCCATTATCTGACCCAACTACCTACCCATTGGGCTTGAAGCTCGTCCCAGTAAAAGCAAGATTTCAGAAAGGCAGGCAAAGGCGAGTGTGTTTTAGGCCTTCTCTGTTTAATCTTTTCTCAAAGTCACAGAAATCCGTTGTCATTCAGGTAGCAGCTGTGGGGGGTGTTTGGCTGACGATGGACACATGAATTGACCCCTTTACTGCCTGATCATCTCTCTGGCAATAGTGAAAGCTAAAAGAGAGCAGTCAGGATAGAGCATTCGGACACTGAGGCTGTTTGGTGTGTTGTAGGTAGGAGACAAATTTCTGAGAAGCCGGAGTCTTGCAACCCAAACCACGGACAACATAACCTCGCAAACTTGGGCTGATAGGTACCCAGCAAGCAGAGATGACAACCGTTCAACAGGAAAACTGCGGGCTTTGGCCTGTCTCTCTCATCCAAGTGGAGCATATATAAGAAAATATGAAAGCCTGAATGGAGAAAATCTCACGCCCATGTTGGCTGGACAGATGATACTATACGGAAGCTCCAAAGTAGTTGAAGCTCTAAAAGTTGATACCATCAGAGAGACAAAGATCTTCATCCTAGTTCTACATGTGTTAGCAATATAAGTCAAGCAATAACACTCCTGAGAGAGATGAAGCATAGATTACTCCTTTCCTGAGTTTTCTCTCTATACGGTTGGATAAACCATAATTAAGTTTCAAGGACTTGCTTGAACCTCGACTTGAAACGCTGTAAAGCCTGAAAGGGAAAACAGTCCGGTTAGGAAGCTGTTTAGTCTATCTTCCAATGTATTCGAGTGCATTAATGTACATGTATATGGACAATCTAAATGAGGTGCCTATGACAACATCACTCCATTGCAGGATGATGGAGATGCCAGTCAGGGAGGCGTCTAAGCAGATGGAAGTCCCATGGTCACCGGGTATCACTTATCTTTCAAGTTCTGAGCGCCGAAACCACTCAGCTTGAAGCTGTGAAAGTGTTCTGAAGTCTATGTGTAAACAGATTCTTTAATTTGAGACGCATATGTGGTATACTGGCCTTCAAACGGGTATGTCTCCCTTCTCTAACTCCCTTGGTTGATACCCCCAGTCACAGTCAGTCTGATTTTGAGCATTAATCTTTGTTCGCAGTCTTAATGATATAGGATCTCAATGTAAACTTTGCCTAGTTTCGAGCAAGTGTTTTCCCTGTTGCGGCTTGTGGTGAACGAAACAGCCATGAGGGCCTAGGATTGTTTATCGTGTTTGTTTTCCTGTTCCAAATTGGAAATAACATGTATTTACAGTCCAGAAGTTGACTGGGCTTTTTTAAAAAGAAATAAATAAAAAAAATTAAAGAATAAACTGGGAATAATGTTAAATAGTAAAAGAGAGAGAAAAAAAAGTGTTATTGTCCCCGGTCGGATTCAAACCGACGTTTTTCGCTACCTTATACAAATTCGCTAAGTAAATATACAAACGCTAGAATATAAAGCACACAAACGCTAACCACTACGCTACGGGGACTATGTAATTCTTGGTTGAATTGCAGAGCCAGAAAATGTTAAATGAAATAGTCTGGGTACTGGGTTGTGGTGGAAGAGTGGTTGTGGTGGGTTTTGTGACTTGATGATGAGTCGTGTGTGTCTTTGAGAAGAGGAAGCAATAGTCACGTCTGTCTCCCTGAATATTAGACCGAGAAATTCGTGTTGATTTGTTGCTGTGAGTAATTTCGATGTTTTTAGATTTGAAAAAGTCATGAGAACGTACTGGATATGGTATCTACTTAATTAAATGATGCGGTAATATGTTGTTGGTTACTGTAGAGAATATCTAGTGTACATTTTTTTCTACCTAGGTAGCTCTATGACGTCTAGTCCAAGTATCAAAGGGCTCTATTCTTCTCAATCACGATCACGTCGCTGGGCACTTTAAGTCTCTGCCATACTTCAAGCATCTTAAAAAGACCAGTTCACCGTTGGTCTCAACAAACAGCAATAGATGAGGTATAATAATTACATGGAGTACATGTACTATAGAGCTTCCCTCAGAACTGTCTTTGGTTTTCCTCCTGTCGAGTTGTCCCAAGGTGGCCGATTAAAGACGAAGGACTCGAATGCTGTCATTCCTCTAGTTCCATTGGTCGGTTGTTCTATTTTGATGAATCCGGTCTATATCACTGTTTCTCAACCGTACTTACTACTGTCCCAGCCTGCCTTAGTGAGAGTCTGGGTTATATATCTGCAGCAAGACCCTCCCGTCAGGTACTCCAGAGATAGTTCAGCATCTTGCTTCTCAAACAATGGCTTCGGTCCTGAATCACCCGTAGTATCAACAAGAACAACCCAGAACAACTCACAAAGTGTTTAGGATCTGTAATAAACATGTTTTTAGCTCAGTTACGTTTAATCCAAGACTTGTAGTATTTTTCTGGTGCCGAGGGCTGATTTTGGAGATGTACGACTCCGATTCTGGTACCTCTGACTTCATTATAGGTTGTTCGTTATCTTTCTAATTTTCATTACTTTTAACCAGATCTCAACATCAGCCTATACCATGGTTATCTTCAAGAGGGGAGGGAGGGAAAGCCATCACTGCTAATATTTCCTGGCGGACCAGCCGTTGCTTTCCAGCCTCTATTCAGTTATGTGTAAGCGCTATTAGTCTTCCAGGGACATAATGAAACATGCATTTTGATTGCCAAAAGCTCATCATTTTCCATCGCACAAAACAATGCCACCAGTTGAAGATGTAGGTTAAAAGAGATTCTGAGGTCATATGAAGGACTGAAGAAAGAAGAAGAAGAAGTCAAGATTATTTCTCTGGGAAGCCAAAAGCTGAGCACAACCAAATACTACCCATGGAATACAAGCAGAGAAAGACAAAAAGAGACATTATACCCCAAAGAGGTCGCCAGTGGACCATAGAGGAAAAATTGGAATAGCTTTACAACCGCATATATCACTAGGAACGGGAATATAGGCTTTCCTACTCCTGAAGACAACAGGAGGGCTTGTCGTAAACAATACGTGTAAAGTGTGTTAGAGTGAGCCTGTTCGACTGCCCTTCTCACCCGGGGCCCCGTCTGTGATATCATCACGTTATGGGAGCGTGCTATCAACGTAAGCTGCATTTGGTTCTCAAAAGTGGAGGCAATTCCTGTATGAGGATTGTACGTTAGCCTCCAGAAGCGATGTGTTTACTTGAAAAAGACAAGATTGAGGAACCCCTGGGGTTATCTCCAAGGACCTCTTTCTCCGATAAAGCCTCAAGATTGGCAGATGACAAAGAACCAAGCACTGAAACGTTACCATTACCCGAGATCTCGAGATTTGATGTCAGATTCCCCTCAAATATCCATCACCACAAGCGCTCATCAATCATCTCACTTTCCCAGAAACACAAATCCCAACAACGTCAAGCAAGACAAACCCAATAACACACATCCAATCAAGACACTTCTAAGCCTGCCTGTTCGTCTTTCGGTTTTGTCCGAAACCTTCTCGGCACCGTCAAGGATTTCCCCTTTCCGACACACAAATCACATAATCACATCTCACCAGCGGTGTATCCCTTTTTCTCTTCCAATCGCGATTCCCCATCCAGCTGAACTGCCGACGAACAAGGACCCATGTATATAAAACCACTTACACTATTACACCCGCTTGCAACCATATGTGATCCGAGCCTGACCCTTTCAGCTTTTCAACACAAACCCCTCTAGCGTATACGCTGGCGTGTGATGATACAAATCCTTCCCCATCTCTCATTACTCAAATCAGCGGTCATTTCTGACAGCCCTCGAACCTCTTTTATTACTTTGACTCACTCATTCAAGGAGAGACAGAGACACTAACACGGGCCGTTCGCCATCAGGCGAAAAGCCGTGACAAGTGAAAGTGTATAGTGTGATCGTCGTCACACTAATATTAAAATCATCGAAAAAAAGAGACTAAAAACCATGAGTTTGTTTGGTGTCTTTTGGCAAGTGAGCGTATCAAAACCAATCAATTCTCAGAAACAGGGATCTTGACGGAAGGGACGGAAAGGAAGTTTTAGTTTAGCTTGATGAGATGGAGAAAAGAGAGATCTTGCTTGCATCTCTCTGTCTGTGCTTTCTTTTTTCCACAGCCAAGCAAGTTTACCACTACTAGCAGAAAAGGGAAAAATGAAGAGAATGAAACTGTGATTGAACTTTTGAGAAACATGAAACTCTTGAAAAGAAAAGAAGCCTTTCTTCCGAATCTCCTCGGCTTCCCAACAAGGTGACATGGTAACAATGGAATATCCCGTTTTTCACAATGTGCAGAAACGTGATTGTGTGAAAGTGTGTGTGATTCGCACTTGGTCACCAACACTTGGCGTTTCTCGACACACACACACATGAACAGGGGGAGGGGTGTGTGTCTCCAATTGAACGCCACACAGATCGAAAGTCAAAAGAGTTTGGACTTTTTTTTTGGAAATCGGCATCGTGATGCGCCTAGAATTGTAATCAGCGGCGACCAGCAGAAGTTAGATAGCTTTAGAAGCAGGTCTCGGAGAGATAGAATAGAATACTACATCGAAAAAAGCTGGTCCAAGATTAATGTCTCACACGCCCCCTCTTTTCTTTTCGGGAACTCGAGCCTTGGTTCGACGGCGAACTGCGTTCCTGCATTGTAAGTCTGAGACATACATAACCAAGGGAAAAAAAAAAACGTCGAAGCGGTGTAAAAAGGATTGTGGCTTCTCCTCATCACAGAAAAATGTGTATCAAAATCGGGGACGGGAACATCGAAACACACAGGGGGAAACATGCTTGGCATCGTCGTGTTTGTGGTGGGTGGTATCTGTATCTTTCTGTGCCGCATCAACAAGCCCGCAGATATTGAATGTGGTGTGAGTGTTGCTCGAATAATAAACAAAATGAAATTTGTTGTCGATGCATCGCGACATTGCGTTGTTGCGTCACTTTTAATGAAAAGCTGCATGTAAGTAAACAATAACGACATTGATGAGTGATGATGACTCTTCCGAATGACCGACGCTCTCCGAGTGTCCCCCCGTTCGTAAGATTGTGATACGCAAGTCAGGACGCCTGTTTATTGAGCCACACCCAGAGAAAAAGAGATTCCCGCCTGCATCTTTACGGGGTAGGAACTCACGAAAAGAAAGATCATGGTTGCTTCGCCCGGACCCTTGTCGAAGGTTGATGAAAAGAAAAAAAAGTCACAGCGGGAAAAAAAGAGATGGTCATAGCTTTTTTCCCCCCTCTTTTCGGTCCCGTTCTGATGCCCTGCAAGCCACCACTTGGTTCTGAAACCAGGTCATCCCTGGGGTTGTCAAAATCTAACCCCCAATCTCGATTCTTGTTAGCCAAAAGTTTAAAATGTCCGCTCGTCATATTTTGCAAAATTGTTTATTTCCCCAGATATTCAAGATTGAATTGATGCGAGAGACAGACGCAGCTGCATAGGAGATTAATTGGTGCCCGTTTGAGCCATCGGATACAGATAGAGGGTAGTAATCAAGGTATATTGCTAGTTCCCCATCCAGATACATAGCCAAAGCATCACCACATATTCTGATCCGTGTATCCAGAACACCAGTGACGGAGAATCCCGGCAAGCCCATATAACTTTTGGAGGGGCATGCTGCCACAACTGCACAGTATTGACGCCTTGTGCGAGGCGACTTGTTTCTCTCGTTCTCTGCTCGTGGTGTCTCACCAGAACAACCCGCTCACACGGATGGGATCCCCGGCCTCCAGCAGGACGGTGACGCGGACGGGAGCTCGCACATTGTTGGGTCATGCAGGCACTTAAATACTGGTGGTATCACAGCATACACGACCAATGTCAGGTACGCCGCAGATGGAAGGAGAGAAAGTGAGAAAAGTGCTCGAGAGCCACCGGTTCTTCAGCACTTGGGTATGGGCCGCTCAACGTGGCCGCCTGTCCACTTTCGATCCATCAAAACCCCCGTGTCAAATCCGTGACCTTGCAATATGGGTCACAGATTGTGGTCGCGGGGTGCTCTATCTAGGATATGCACGCATGCGCTATCTAAATGCATGGCATTTCGGACAGTGGACACGGCAGCTCTGCTAGAGGTGCCCCCGAGATCTCAATTGGACGAATTTATGGCTCCCCCAAGAACCCGAGAATCCAGGGTAACCCACCCGTACCTGCTGCTGATGCCTCAAGGTTTCATCGTCGGGTGGGTGGTGGGTGGACATGCGGCGTGCCTGCAGCTGTAATTTGTCCTCAGGGTTAGGTGTGGTTGACATGCTTCTCTGACAGATCCAATGAGGGTGGGGAGTCTGATCATGTTTCTCCTGGAGAGAGCATAAGGTGTGGTGACATGCGGACCAGAGGGGGGTCCTAACTCCGCAACGACGACAACATGCCATTGATATCACATCCCCCGACAGACCCGGTGCTGGCCGCAGCAACCATGGTTCAACATCAAAGCGAACGGTCTCGTCAATCGGGAACAGACGAGACGAGACGGAGATCAAGCTGGGACCTACAGATCAGGAGCAT